AATTGACTAAAATTTCAAAAATCTTCTTCTCAAGACCCAGATATGGTAGAATCAAATACTCTTCATAGATGGAAGGGTCTTAAGGTGCTTTACCAAAATTGTGAATTTCATTACCCTGGGGTCTCACGTTTCCCCCTGGGGAGGGGGTAAACTTATCTTTTATTTTCGTAGATTTTGGCGTTTTAGGTGGCGTGATATCTACCATTACTGTATCATTATCTTGGTTTAGCGTGACTGAATCGGGTGCCGCAATTACCTCCCTGTCATAATCGTTACCTCTAGTGGTTTTTTTACCGGACTTTTTATCATTTCTTTTTAAACTGTTCTTAGATAACTGTTTTAAACTAACGGTTCTTTCCTTTTCTACAATTTCGTCCCCCATTTTCATTCTAGCGGCCATGATGTGATAACAAGTTCCCGTAGACGGACATCGACAAGTTTCCTTTGGATATAAAGTGACTGCATATTTAGTGCCATTGTTCCCACATATGATGAAAGCTTTTTGATCTTCAACAAAAGTTATGCCATTATTTTCCAAAACTAATTTAGCTAAGCATACTTGGGACAGATTTTTGTTTGATGGTTGACACTTTTTTTCGAAAGAGTCTGGTGTATCTGCTACTTCAATAGTATCAGTTGATTGTTGTTGATTTTCGGTTTGGGGATCGTCAGATATATCTACCTGTTTAGATTCCCTAGATTGAACTGCGTTAGTTTCTTGAATTGATTCACTGACTTGGTTTGTTTCTGTGTTTTCATTGGAAGTAGGTCGCGAGGATTTCATAAAAGACTCGTTTTTTACATTACCTTTTACAAAGTCTAAGATTTCGTCGGGGTTTGGAAGTTTTTTGGGGATGACTATTTCATCTTTTGGAATCTTAACATATGAAAATTTGTCAAGAAGTTTGTATTGACCTATTCCGGCCATTCCGGTCTGTATGTTGTAAAAAAATACCTATATTGTAGCAACTGTAAACTTAAAGTTAAAACATCTACTGGGAGTTCTTTACCTTTCACGTGAGTTTTCAACAGCTCAACAGGGTAATTTATATTTGGATCATAATATAACTATTTTATAATTAGTATACAATTGCCTTTTTAGTAAACAGTCATCGACCACTAGCAGNAAATGAGAGAAAAATACTCTTTCATTCCCAAGGGAAATTTCTACACTCTGGATTTTCAAATTTGAGTTTTACCCTTTGGTGGAATGTCCCTATCCTACGCCCCTGGACATTTTCCCTATTGGGCCTGCCCCCTCCACACCCTGTATGTTTATACAAAACTGAAAACCCTTTGGCCAAGGATATTCCAGAATAAATTTGGTTAAAAACCACTTTGTGGTTAAAGACTACTAGCGGGCCAGGTGAGCTAAAAACATGATATATACAGGGGAAATCCAGGAAGTTCAGAGCAGTTGGCCATTTCAGCAATTTTTAGTCAATATCAAAATAAAAAAGTATTTTTTATATAATATTCTATAAAAATTGGAAGAAAATTAAAACGTGGAGGGGTCAATTTCATTTTTGAGGTGTCAATGGCCCGGCCCAATGGCCCCTTCCATGATGATCCTTGCATATATTTAAAATAGGGGTTATTTTTATATCACTGATAATTGACAATATTTCAGACTCCTATGCTCACTCAGTATCTAAAATGAAATCTACACGAACAAGGCCTAACAACAATTTTTAATGTTCAGGGACAACCGAAGTACATTACCTAAGTATAACTTGGTAACCGTGGATGACAGCAGAAATTCTCGAAGAGATAAGAACTAGGGATACATTTTTGCACACATTTAGAAAATTTGGCCAAACCTCAGACTATAAACATTACTGCAAACATAGAAATCATGTGCAGAGAATGGTTAGAAAAGCAAAAAATCAATATTTTGACCACAAGATTGAGGAAAACAAAAATGATTCAAAAAACTTATGGAAACATTTCAAAAATTTGGGTTATGAAACTAAAAGAAAAACGAATATGAATGTAGTTTTGAACATTGAAGGTGAAAATTGTCATGAAAACTTAACTATTGCCAATCATTTTAACAATTTTTTTACAACCATTGCTTCCAAACTTGTTGAAGGCCTTCCTCCATGTAAAGGCTTATTCAAANGAATCTGTGTTTTCTGTGCATAGCAAACACTCTCGCAAATGAACTTGTGCAGTAATTTAATAAGTGGAGCATGCACTAAAACATTTATCTTTAGCACAAGCGATCAGCAACCATAACATGATAAAATGTTAATTAACGTTAGAAACTATATATTTACGTATGTCAAAGCCCTGATTTTTGACACTGATGATCTTAAAATTCTGTTCATAGCGTCAGCTGTTGCAGCTAATCACAAATCGGAAGTCTCAATATTCGGCCTTCACCCAGAAGAGTTCTGACGTAGATTACGTAATGCTAAATGTCAACTCGCCGGATGAGAATATGGGTGAGGACAAAACCCGGAATGCACTCAGGCGTGGAGATTATTTTGTTGATTTATTGTATATATTAGGCTGTATCTCCCTCAATACGTCTTGGATTTTTATTCGGAGACCAGTCTAGGAAAGATAATTTTATACCCGTCACAATGATATAAGTTATGCGTATCATTATTTAATATTGGAAGTGAAAGTGGTGGCCGGAATGAACCACTATGAAATAAAAATGGCAATATTTTCAACTGTTTTCGTTCTAATAAATACTCATATCTCAAAAAGTACTGAACCGATTTTTGTTCGGAGACCACTCTGGTCAAGGGAATTTTGCACTTGTTAATATGATACCAACTGTTTAAACACATCTGTCATATTAATCGCAAAAGTGGTGGCCGGAATGAATCGAAATCGTTTGAAAAATGACGAAAAAAGTATAACTTTCTCGTAACTTTCTGTCTTTTTTTACCCATTACTCGTTAATCGCAGAACCGATTTTTGTTCGGTGACCACTCTAAGCAAGATAATTTTATAATCTTTAAGCTGATATAACTTTTATTAATATACATTACAAACTCGATGCAAAAGTGGTGGCCGGAATGAACTACTATGAAATCTGCGGACGCCATTTTAAGACGATCCACGCTATCACATTTGCTAAAACAACACGCCACCGGTGAATAGCGACCGGTGTATAGACTTCATGTAATGGTTAATTCACACCTTTAGCTTCTAGTGGTCGATGACTGTTTACTAAAAAGGCAATTGTATACTAATTATACAATAATTATATTATGAAAATAAA